TCAGAAATTCCCAAATCCTTCCCTTTTTAAAGCATTCTTTTTATGTTACAATGGCTCTTCATTCCACTCCACTGACGCACCACAGGCGGTAAAAAGCTCAAGTCAAAAGGTTATTCTGGAACTCAGTCCATCATTTTTCAATGCCCATGTCTACAAAAGCGGCTAGGAGCTCGTAAGCTCAGAGCTACACTCAAATAACAAGAGGTTTTGCTCTAGCACCATGTTTCCACGCTCTCCAGAATCCCATCATTTTTATTCTCTCACATCTGCAAATCTTTGATAATTTTCACCTTCTCAAAGACAGTTCAACGACACTTTCGATTTGCAAGCAAGTTCAGGCAGGAATTTTAGCAGATGAGTAGCTTCGCTATCTGCATGCATTTCGCTATCACATTAGTATTGGCCCTCTTCCAAACGGGAGGCTTGTCAGCATCCCAGAGAGGTCTTTGTATTCAGACCAAGCCTTCTGCTCAGCTGTGGGCACTATCTGCAAAGTGACTCTATGAAAATGACATCATTGTGTGGCAAACTTGTTCTCGCTACCGTAAATTTGTTTGGCATGCAAATCAAACCCAAGCTTTTTCAAATTGTCAGCATCTTGAGCTCAGTCTTGCAGCTAAATACCACGTTGTGTTCTTTCTATTCCACGTCTAACGCATCAGCAACAATGAGAACGTAGCAATCAAACCTGAGCTGGCACTTTTTCTGATGACTCACAAAGCTGATTAAAACACAGTTGCTCTCCCAGATCTGCACTGGCTCAGAATTGCAGCATACGTATCAAAGAGGTCTCTCTTAATTCCCCACCCTTTGTTCCAAAAATTAAACACACACAGAGAAGAGACAGATGCAATAATGGAGTGCGCGTTTTCCCATCATTTGTAACCAATCCAGCCCTTAACTAATGGGACTTAATATCGTCGTACATTATGATTTCAGACGGGTGTCTTTGCTCATGCTGAGTTATGCTCTCCAAGAGCAGCAGTAACAAAACAGCATGCTCACAAATTGAAGCGTTGAGAAAGAAGGCCAGAGTTAGACTCTGTAAGTCAAAATGACATTTAGTAGTATAACAGCCACATAACCGCAAGATACAGGCTCTTAACCCATAGCAGGCTTATTTCTAATGCTGTGCTTGTCACAGGTGACAAGAAGTTACGTACTCCCCAGACAGCACTGACACATAATAGAGAAACCTTCAGTCTCTCCGAAGGCAAAAATATTTGTCCTTGTCACCCAGGCGAAGGATGGTAACCCCAGCCCAGCATGTGTTGTAATCACACCTGCACAGCGAAACCAGGGAGAGGAAAATTAAAGTAACAAAGAGGTAGTGCCTACCTTTTGAATCAATTTATCCTAGGGCATGCCTGTAACCTTTCTCCGTGAGATGCTGCTGTTGGGCAGTGGCAATGTCTTTAAAAGTCCCTCTAGCAGCCGGCAAATATCGACCTCCAAAAAGCCAGCCCGGCTCTTCTCTGTGAACCTTGCCTGTGACTCAGCATGGGAATATGCCTTCAAAGCAAGAATTTCAGAAGGCATTCTCTTAAAAAAAAAAAAAAAAAAAAACTTGCGAACAAACAACTTAGTTCATTGCAAATCGTTCTTCCTTTCATTTTTAACTGCACCAGGAATGAGCTTTTTGGGGCTACTATTTTAGGAGTTTAGGCCCAGAGGAAGTTCTGCCAAGTCCTAGCAAAATACAATGTAATTTTAAAATTACAGTCTCACAAATTGCTGCTTAGGAGAACGATCATCTTTTAATGATTGGGCACGCTGTCTCAAATCGCTGCTTTACATGCGTTAGAGAAAGGGCCACAAGAACACGTTGCGGTCACTGCTCTAACTCCTCACAGCCTGGGACTTCAAAGACATCAGAACATCTCCACATTATTAATGAAAATCCCAGAGAATTGCTCTGCACCATTGCTATTCAGTGTGAACTTGGTTACTATGCTGAAATATCAGAACAGTACTGATGCAAGCCTGTTCACGCGTTGTAACAACTCCAAACTGATACCACACGGCTACAAAAAATAATACCACCTGACGTCTCCCAGATATATAACTCCTTTGTGTTATATAAATCTGAGCTGGAGCAAACACTAGATAATATCACACAGAGATTGGGCACACCAGAGATCATCTAACCAAATCTGATACTCCACACATAGCAACCTGGATTCAGCTGGATGTGGGCCTCAAACAGCAGTGACTGGTGATCTCTGGGCCTCAGCACAGATCAGAGAGACATCTATTTACCTTCCTTCAGACCCCTCTGCAGCTTTCAGCGCTGTCAACAATCACGTTGTCTGGCAGAAGCAAAGTTGTCCAGGATAACACAGTGATGTGGTTCTACCAAATAAATAGGAGTGATGCCACCACCACCATCAAGCCCCTCCCTTGCATCACCTTCTGCTCTGCCCCCATTTAGCATCTCCAGGCACCACAACGCAACACGACATGCCACGAGGACTGGAGAAACCAGCAACAGGCAGCCAAAACAGGGCCACTTGACCTTTCTTCTACCCAGCCACCCCATCCCACTAAGATGACATACCACATCTGGAAGGACAACAGCCAGCTGGGAAGTCGCTGGCTGAAACCGAGCCCAGCCTTAAGAGAAGTGATGCTACCCAGCAAAGAAAAGTGGTTTTGAGGAAGTTCCAGCTACAACACAGGCTCTTCTGGCCAAAGCTCCAAACAAGCCTGTCCCCTGTGCACCCCCCTGCCAGGGCCAGGCTGAGGGAACAGCCACGCTGCTTACAGCCTTGCTGGAAGGCCTGCGGGCCAGTGCAGCACGTCGCGGCCCCCTTCAGCTGGTGCCTTCCTCCAGCCAGCTACAGACACCCCATGCCCGCAGCCACACAGCTTGCGACGGAGCACTCGTCAGGCAGAAGCATCATTATGGTGCTGCACACTGCAGCTCGACTTGAACTCACATCTTGAACTGAAACCCCAAAGGCTGCTCCAACTGCTGCCTCTAGGCAAGCACGATGCAAGGATGAAAGCAGGAAGGATGTGGATTGACCGGTGAGCACAAGCTGATTTATCCAGGGAGAGAATTCACCACTGAATTTGCCCCAGAAGGAGGGGCAAATTCACTTCTAAGACTTGATAGACTTGGGGCTGGGGGAAGAGCTTGAGTCTGTGCCTCGGTTTTCTTGCTTTAGGAATCTGCAGAGCTCTACTTGCTGCGGAGGCTGTAACCTAGAGCATTACACTGCACAAGACTTATGTTTTAAGCATATTAGTAACACTTTAATGGTGAGGGAGGCATTTCAGCAAACAGTAAATTCTGCAGCTCTGTTTGGTAGAGTTATCAATAATCTGCTTAATGACAAGGTGCAATTTAC